ACTGCTTTTTATTTTATAAAATCCGTCTTCTTGCGCCACCAGAGGGCCTTTTAAACAATAGGTAGTCTGTTAGCGTTGGTCAGTAGTAGTCCAAATTCAATACGAACGTCTGTTTCTTGAAAATTTGATTACGATTTAAATACATTATTTACTTTTAATATTACCGATATGTCATCGAAAAGAAAACGTGTTGTATTATCATTAAAAGACAAATTAAAGTATTTGTTTCGATTATCTGGATTTTTCCTTATCCGGACTACCTTCATCCCCAATTAGTCCGGATAATCGAGGTTCTGCTGTATTTTGGAAATGTTGAGTTGAATTAGTCTAGGAATCGATTAATTTTATGGAAGAAAACCTTTCAAACAACCATAGTCTGTAAAGTGCATACATGACGGGCTGTGATTGGCAAAGACTCGTACAAAATGGATTCATAAAGAACGGAACGTATCTACCGTGTTATAGGGGGGTTGACTGTATACAACCAATAATATGCAATAATTATAAATGAAGCTTTTAATGTGATGTCACATTCAAACTAGATAGTATTCATGTCAACAATACTTTTATCTTCCAGTATAAGTTGGTTTTAGATCATTTTATGCCAAATCATATTCATACATGAATTACTGTATAAAAAATATAAACATATTTTTGTGACAAATGATGAGATTGAAATAGTTTCAGATTTCAGTTCTGAAATCAATTTGACAATAACAAATAACTCAGATATATATTTACTACTATATAGTTGTACTATTTACTCTATCAGCATATTTAAACTTGAATAAGAAAAATGTTAAATAAAATCCAGTTCCACAAACCAGATGTCTCATCAATGTATGAAGTTGAACATCTACTTTGACCAACAATAACTTAATAACAAATTATTTTGTTGGACAAAGTCAACCTATGTACTTTTCCATCCGTGAAATAGATGATTTATGAATGTTTTCAACTACATTCACTAGTCTACTTAGATATTAGTCTGTAACTATATCAGATTAGTGATAATTTTTAATGAATAACATTAGACAAAAATTTATTGCATATCAATGTTTGACATCAAATCATTATAACATCTGTGTGTACAAGCAAATTTGACACGGTGATAATCAATAAGGATATGATAAATGAAAGACTTGTGCACGGTGCAACTAAAACAGTGATACTGAGGAGTAGTGTGCACATTCATGAAAGTATTTATGTTCAATACACTCCTCTAAATCAGAAAAGGTCAACATATTATACTGAAGCTATATATGATCATTTGGAAGAGGTAATTGGGGCTCATTGAAGTATGAGAAGTAATAAAGCCATAAAGCTCTATGACAGCAACATCTGTGAAACAATATCTTTTTTTAAATATTCCACTGGGTTGCACAATATATTATCAAAATGTTTACTGTGTAATTGTAAAGCTGTTGACAGCTAAGCATATAATTTACTGCTTAATGGTTTTATAATTTTATTGTTTTAAACGTGTGTCTTGTAATAATTTTTAGGAAATATTTGCCTTATCTTTAAAAGTTGTTCACCTAACTGATGAGGGCCATTAACACCAGGGACCAAAATGCATTTTAGGAGATATATAAAGCATTAATAGTTTCATGTGTGTGATAACCCTTTAATTGTAATAATTTACTATGTATGTGTAAGAAATATTTGTATTAAATATCAAATCAATAATTTACAATATAAAAATAAAACTGAACAACATTTATAAAATAGCAGCAGCATGCCTGTTGTAAGATCTTCAGTTAAGAATGTCTGAGATCAAAAAATTGCTTTTAAAGCAATAATGCAAATAATCAATAAAAAAGTAAAAGAAAGTACTTTTTCATTAGTAACTGTTATTGTTTTATTCAAATAATATTTTAAAGACATTTCGAATTTTAAACTTGACATTCTAAATATACCGTATGTTACAACTTTTAAATTTATATTGTAATGTTCTAATAGACTGATGAAGATATTATAAATACTATTAAAGTATTCACAATTATACCTTTTAAAATGTACAACTTTTTGTTATATAACTGCTGAAATAGACACAAATTATCATAAGGACAGTTCAATGCCATTATTATTTTTAATCAAAATTTTCAGATCACTTTATTTAAAGACTTGTTATAATATGAATAATATTCAAGCTTTATCAAGTTTTAAATGTTTTTACAGTAAAGCGTCGTTTATCCGAATCAATTAGGGACTGGGGTTGTTCAGATAACTTATTTTTCGGATAACCGATTACGTACGAAAAAATATATTAACCTATCCCGTATTGAAAGTTTTCTCCGTGTTGAATTTTTGTCGATGTTAAGCCTAACGTAAACTTTTTAAAATAATAATCGTGGCTGTTGTATCGTTAAAAATTATTTCTTTATTTTTTACAAACAAAATAAATATATTGAAAAATATAAAAACAAAAAACAATTATACTTTAGAAGTTAATCTAGTAACAAAAACGTTTGATTCAGCATGACACACAGTCTTCAGAAAAAAACCCCACAAAAGTGCCAGTGCTACCAGCTAAAACACACACATCAACAAAAAAAAATATTGGAGAAGTCAAAAATTGCAGTGCCACAGCACTAGCGAAAATTTAAATTTGCTGTCTGGAATTCTTTCGGATAACCGACTTTCAGATAAACGACACTCTACTGTATATTAAAATAGTCAATATAAAAAAAAAAACAACATATATAGCCCTTTTCTTCTTTTTAAACATTAATACATAAACACCTCAAGAACTGGTATCAATACATATATTATCCAAAAACACTCTTTTACACCAAGCCAATTAAAAAATGCAAAATATTAAATTTATATTATATTCATTATATTAAATATATTTGTTCTTTTAACTGGTTTGGTATGTGTGTTTTTTTAATTAATACATAGTTTCAGTATTATAAGTTTAATTATCATTTAAAACTGGATGTAATACACAAAAAACAATTCTATCCACTAAAATCCAAAAAAAATTCACTTTGCTAGAAGAAAATTAATATTTTTGACAATTTTAAAATGTCGTCGTCAGGTTTACATGGAATAGAACATAACTTGGAAGATAGAATAAAATTCAAAAATAATGAATGTAACGTCATTGGCTGGAATCTAACATGTCATATTTGATGTCATCACATGTAGATGGTGTAAAAATGTGTTGGACTAAAAAGATATTTTGAACAGAGATTTCCATATGTTTAAGGTTTTGACCTCCCTTTAATTAACCACAAAGATTTTGGGGGACACATTATAGATTTCCAGCTCTCTAGGTATTTTAATAGAGACCAGTTAGTGCCTAGGTGTAGAGGGTGGGCATCATTAAAGGCAACATTGATGTCATTTTCCAAAGAATATGCAGTGATGGTGCGCAAGCCCTTTTGGATGGAACCAGGGCTGTGGAGTCAGAAGTGTGGTGTTTTAGTCGGAGTCGTCAAAAAGTCCGCCAACTCTGACTCCTTTTTACTTCCCAACTTGTTATGTATATAAAACTGAAAAGTATTGGAATCGTGTCAAATTTGACCCTCCAAGATTTTTGAAAATCTATACGTTTGGAGATCTCTTGAACCCCCCCAAAAAAAGTCAATAAAAGAGGAAAAATTCACGTGCACATATGTTGGTGTCCAATTTGTTTAATTTCTTTATTTTTGTTCTGAGATATTAAACAATATCTTAAAATAGATAAAGTTTAAGAAGCGAAATTTGGCACTGTATCTTGCATATAAAGGGGCATTAATACTATTAAATTTTGTTTCTTAATTAAAGGTCGACAGGATGAAAACATAGAAGGGGGTCATGTGTCATATCTCCAGTGCGGTCGAACTTAATGAATATTTTACTCGTTATTAGTGTTCACAATTTTTAAAAAAATAAAACTTGTCTCTAACCTCAAAAGCAAGCTTTTTGTCATTTTATAATAGTATAGTGAAACCCATTAACATGCTCTCACTAAGATGTTAGAATGTATATGGGGACATGATTTAGTTCAACCACTTTGATGCTTAATAACTCCTGTGTTAAACCATCTGACTCTGATTTAAAACCACAGAAGTTATTAGGCTTCAAACAGGGTGAACAAAATCATGCCCCACACACACAGTCTAACATCCACACATATAGAAAAAAATCTTGAATCTTTTGCATATCTTGAAATTTCAAGGTGTCCTGAGTCCAAACATGTAAAAATTTGGGAGGGGTTATTTTTGACCGAGTGCTACACTTTTCCTCTGTTATATATAACAGCCAGAAAAGTAAAAATTACTGAATACATATTTATACATTGACTATGTTGTTAATTAGAGAAGTCTTTTAGCTTTGGAATAAAGTTTCTATGTTCTATCTTTATTAGAACTCTATTTATTGAATTTTTTATTCTGTGGTCACGTGATGACATCAAAATTTCCAGATGTCTTTTGGTAACAAGTCCCCCTCTGGTCAGAGTCAGATTCGGTAGATTTTTACGCAACTCTACAGTCCCAAACGGAACAGATATGTTCTTTAAAGAAAGTATGTAGTGTATGTAAAGCAATTCCTTGACAAATTGTGAGTCCACAATTTGATAGCTTAAACTCCTGGAAGGTATTTTCTATCAAACAGATCTTTGGAGTTTCTAACAGGGTAGATCAATGGGTTCCTTTTGAAGGTCAGTTTAAAATGTTGACTATAGCAAATTGTTTGTAAACAGTGGTAGGACGAGGGTTGTACTGGACTATGTTGTACTTCCTATTGTTGTCTTTCCCAGTTGTGGATTGCATTAGGTATTTGCTGATGAGACCCAATATATGCTTAGGACAATATCTATGTTCTTTTGTCACACAGATGATGTATTGGAATTATTTTCTCAGTCCATGGGATTGGAAGAGTGAATAAAGGCCCTCTTGAGCAGGGCTGTGGAGTGGGAGGAATATCTGGCCAAATGAGTCAGAAAAAATGTGTCAACTCCAACTCTGATATTTTAAATTTAGTTTAGTTTTTTTTTATTTAAATGGAAGAAAATTTATTTTATATTTAATAATTTTTTTAAAATGTTTTTGTATTTTGTTACAATTCATTTATTTTAAATACAAAATGCAACAATTTAATTTATTAAATATGTATCAATAGTTTTCTTTGTAGTATTTGTGTTTACTAGTTAAATTATTTTGACCCAAATGAATTTGAATATTTTTTATTCATTCCTTTATTATTTCCACTCTAAATAAGTACTTATTTTTCTGAATGAGCCAGACTAATTCATCAGAGCATATAATTTTTCTTTTCTGAACAAGGGGCTGGATTGCACACTTTTTAGTTGGACAAACTTTTCTGGAAAGGTAAAATCGAAGTGCAAAAGCTGTAGAATAAAGATATGTAGATGTAGAATTTTATCACTCCCCTTTTTCCTCTTAAATATGTGTTAAAAATTAATTTTTTTATACAAATAAATATTAATGTAAGTTAAATATTAAAAATACGAAGTATAAAAGTATTTGGGTAAATGCCCGGAGCTCCTTTTAGAGCTCAGAGTAGAGTAATGCCCTACAAGCACCTCTGCCTACCATAAAATGACTTAGTATTTAATTTTGCTGGAGTCGGAGTTGGAGTTGGCTACTAAAATTATCAGGAGTCAAAGTCGAGTGTTTTTTCACCAACTCTGCAGCCCTGCTCTTGAGTGCTTTAAATGTGACAATTTTGAAAAAGTATGGGTCCCCAGATTTGTTGGGATAAAAACCAGTTTGTATTCCTTTTCCTTTATATTCTGGTGGTGATATTGCCACAGAGGACCAATATCTGTATGTTTAAGAAGAGACTTGGAACTTTTTTCTCTAAACATGGGTGGAAACCTTACAGATTGTGATTGATAGATGTTAATAAATGTGATATGTCCAGTTTTCTTCACCAATTTATAAGCAAGTCACCAACAAACACTTTCATTAAAGAACATATCTATTCCATCTAAATGGCTTGTGCAACATCACTCTGCATATGCTTTGGAAAATGACATCAATGTTGCCTTTAATGAAGCCCACCTTCTACACCTAGGCACTAACTAGTCTCTATTAAAACACCCAGAGAGCTGGAAATCTAAGGGAAGCCAAAATCTTAAACATATGGAAATTTCTGTTTGAAATATATTTTTAATCCTATTGTGTTTTTACACCATCTAAATGCAATGACATCAAATATAACATGTTAGATTCCAGCCGATGATGTTACATTCTTTACAAGATGCTCTGCTTATTGTTTCTTATTTATCAACATCTTGAAGCCCAATGTATTGGTACTAATCCAAAACAAACTCTTGCTGTAATTAATTGGGCTATTATTATTATTAGTTTCTAATTATTAATTATAGCATAATAATAACCTGATTAATAACAGCAAGAGTTTGGACCTGTTTCTTATTCTCCAGTTAGATCTTATTTATTTATTAAATTATTTTTGAATTTTATTATGTCTTTCAAGTTATATTCTATTCCATGTAAATCTGATGAAACATTTGTTTTCTTACAGTAAAGTGAATTCTTCCTGGATTTTAGTGTTGGTTTATTTTATTGTGAATACTGAAACTAAAATGGTTTTAGTCTTAAGTATTTTAATTTTCAATTAGATGTGTTAGGAAATTTATTTAAATGTTTTAAAATAGGTAAAAATTACCATAACTCTTAACTTATAATGTAAAAACTAGATTTTAGAACCTAAAAATTTGAATTATCTCTTGTTTATGAAATTAATTTTTGAAAATAACTTTTTGTTTTCAAAATAAATTTTATAAAATATGAACAGCATCAGCAAATTTTGGCAGTAACAAATCTATTTACAAAAAATTAGGTATTTTTCAAATAATAATAATTAGCTGATATGAAATGCTGAATTGCATTTTAACTATATTTGTTACAGCTATAAAACAAAAAATATCAATATTCATTTTAACATTTATAGTAAATTAATTTAAAATTTAATGAAATTTTTACATTAAATAAATTTATATTTTATTAATAAAAAATTATTTATTGTCATATACTGAATAATATTTTTAAAGTACTATTCAGTTAATCTCAATTATTCACTTATAATAATTTTGATAGAAAAAATACAAATGTTGGAGTAAACAATAATAATTTACAAATCAATAACTATAAAACAAGAGAAACTTACATAATTATTTTCAATATTTGTTATAATTAGTTTGTTTATCAATTTAATTGTACATAGATAATTCAAAATACAATGGAATAATTGAGATTCTATTATTTTTATTTCTTATTTTATACTTAATAGAAATATTTGATTATATTTTCAATAATAATAGAATATAATATACCTAAATGTGTATTTGTTGCAGGTTGAGGTGATACTGTCGTTAAAAGAAGGCTATTTGTGTCTGGTAATGGCTCAAGTTGTTGTCGCTGATCATATGTTGTGCTGTCTACATAATCATTGCTGGCTACATCAAAAGCCAGGCCCTGAGGATTGTACGTGTATCCATTTGGAGTGTAAGTAGTGAGGTCACTGTTATATGCATATCTAAAAATAAATATTCACATCAATATTCATAATAAAATAATGATAATCCATCACCATATGAAGAATATTAAGTTAGTATAAAAAAAATAAAAAATAGCAGCAAAATAAAATATCATTCCATGCTTGCTAATTTTGGTAAATCTGAAAAATTGCAGAAAAGGCACACAAATTTATTCACAATGCAGAAGAACCATTTGAGAATTTGAAGAAATATTTTTACATACTTTATGCATATATATCATTGCATTATTATTATTACTAACATTATTATTTAATGCTATACAGTAGTACCTCAGGATGCAAAATTAATCCGTTCCTAAACTGAGATTGTATCATGAAAATGTCGTAAGGTGAATCATTTTTCCCCATATGATTACATGTAAAACTCAATAATCCATTCCAACACAAAAAACACACTCAATTTAAAGCTAAGTAGTACATTGTTAGTACAAGTACATAGTACAAGTACAAGTACATAGCTGTACATTGAAAAAAAAATAACTTTAGTAAGGAAAACACTGAAAAATGCATTTTGTAGTTGTAAATGTATAAATAACCATAATAGAATAATAATTGATAAAAAAAATGTAGTTTTATTTGCACTTTACCTTTGAGGATAAGGACCTTTCAGGTGGAGGTGTAAACTGGTGGCAGAGGAGAGGGAGAAGGGAAATGATACTAAAACATAACTTATATAACATAATGTAACAATAACTTAAAAATAACTTAACACTAATTTTTTATCTTTTCTGTTTTATATATATTTTTTAATTTTTTATTCACTATTTTTTGCTTTCTTTCCTTCACTTCCACCAGCACTTTCACTGGATAGAGTGAAACTGCTTGGTAAAATATCTATCCAAAGAGGTTTGGCTTTGCCTACTTTTTAAAATGTTTCTAAAATGACTTAGGCAAATGCCATTAAACTGAGCAGGGTGAACCTTTTTGGGATGTTTCTTTTCAATAAAATCAGTCACTTTCTGATAATACCTCAAGATTTCGTTTATCGAACGAGATCCTTCCATGACGAAGAAAACACATGGGCTGAGACCGATGAACAGAAGGAACATGTGATCATGGCGGTGGCGCTGTGAACTAATGTATCATCATATGGTGAGTTTTTGTTCGTACCGTGGAGCAAAAATATGTTTGAATTTCATTCCATATCCTGAAAATTTTGTATGCTGAAGCGTTTGTATCCTGAGGTACTACTATATAATGTATAAGGGATAATTATTATTATTATTTATTAAAATTCAAATTCTGAATTAGCTGAATCAAATCTAAAATAATAATAAACAAAGAATTTAAAAAAATAACTGATATTACAATAAGTGCTTCTGAATAACTAATAAATTTTTACTGGAACTAAAACAAAATATAAAATGATATAAATAACACCTTTTTAACGGTCCAGCAAAAACATTTAATTCTCTAAAAAACGTTTTCGACCGATTTTAAGCGACCTTCATCAGTTATTCTAATATTAAAAAGAACAAAGTATTCGAACTTCAAAATCGGTCAAAAACGTTTTTAGAGAATTACATGTTTTTGCTGGATTGTTAAAAAAGGTGTTATTTATATCATTTTATATTTTGTGCATCTGAATATTACATAAAATGTTTTACATACATAATTTCACACTTTATAATAAGTCAGCCAATCAAAATTATGTTAAAACTACATATCAATAATACTTTGCATAAAAAATTTATTTAAATTTAATCTTTTTTATAGGTTATGCGAAAATCTATTGTATGATTGATATTTTCAATGTATATATATTGGCTTTAACATAAAAAAGTACAATTTATTAAAACAAACAGGAGAATAAGGTGGAGATTATAAAGTGACAAAATATCATGCTAACAGTAGAGCATACCTATGTATTGTCATACATTAACGTCCTGCATGATATAAATTTTAATACAGTGGGTGCATCAGTTAATGAACAGATCAGATAATGAACAAATCGGATAACGAACACTTTCGCGAAAGATTTTTATGTTCGGACAATGAACACATAATCAGATAACGAACACCCCACAAGCAAACACAAGAAGAAGCAATGTAAAATAATGAATGCCAATTGGTCTTCCCTTGTCTTCGGGCAACAATTCAAAACTTTTCAGAGTGCAGGAGACATCGACATTGACGCTCAAGCTGGTATATACCGATCAGATAGTACTCCTCCGAACTTTGAAACTCTCCCTTGTAATTCCAACCTTTTATTTTTCTGATAGAAATAATTCTTTTATAGTATTCGCAAGACTGTCAGGTAGGCACTTGTTAAGTTTTGTGTCTGTTTTTCTTTTCGAAAGGTAATAGTATAATAGCAAAGATAGAGAGTGGGCAGAAGATGCCTAATGTTTCTGGGCAGTATGGCGTGAACAGGTCTACAGTAGACCGCAGTTCAATCTTACTTAAGAAAAATACTGTATAATCAAGAAGACTCGAGTGGCTAAAGGAGTAACAAAAATCACACCTGAGAAATAAAGAGCATCAAAGAGTTCATAATGGAATCTGAAACGGATCTGATGACAGAAGAACGGCAAGAACTCTTGAATGAAGAACACCAAGAAACTTGGCGAGATATGTTTTCTTCTGAAAAAGAGGATTAATGTCGATATCTGTTATTAAAGATTCTTTGAAGAAATAGGAGGATGTCAGAACAACGGTCTTAGAATGGCATCCAAACCAGGTTGAGGCTTGGGGATTTCTACAATTGCAATGCTATTAATTACTTACGAAAAATCCTGAAGAAGGCACAAAAGCAATCGACATTAGACAGATTCTTTAACCCTTTCAAATGGTTTTTTCTATTTGAAAGGATTAAAGAAAAAACATGGTATGTATTTTTATTATTACATATAAATAAATGTAGTAAGAAAGTATATATTTTTTATTTTGGGGGTCTCCAGAACGAATCAATTAAATTCCCATTAAAACCTATGGTAAATCGATAATCGGATAGCAAACAAAGTCTTGGAATGGATCATGTTCGTTAACCGATCACCCACTGTACTTTTTTACTGACAATATGTCCATTTCAGTTGTAATTTAGTTCAGTTTTGTTCAAAACATGTCATCTGCAAATGCATTTAAATAATTAGAACATATGCATCTAATTTTATATTTGATTTGAAAAGGCTCTGAATAAACCTGAAAATGCCTGCTAAAAGGGAAAGGATTCAGTACTAGAGTGAATGACAGGTTAGTTGCATGAAATAATGTACATGTTTTTACATCAGTAATACATCCAATATTATCAGAAAGAACAATGCAATACAAAGTTAATAAATGATCATGAAATAATGAATAGCACATAAATATATTATTAACTTATATTCAATGTACAGATATTTTTGGTTAAGCATTAATTATGTCTAACCCTCAATCTACATGATAGATTGATTCCATATAAATCAAGATCAATATTTATATGGGAAATAGAAGGATAGATTCTGTATATGCAACAGGACAGCATTCTTGAGTTAGTACCAGGGTCAAAATCTTACCAGACTCTGGTTCTTAACTAGGAGTCTGTGGTAAGATTTTAGGAAGTCTTTGAGCTTAGATTGGAAATTAACTCATTATCTTTATTCTCCCTAACCTCTTGCTGAAATCTAATATTTCCTTCACTTATGAATGTATGCAATATATGACAGGTAGTATTAGCTGTATATGTGGTCACCAATAAAAAATCACAGCTATTTTTGTATCATATTATAGTTGTTGCATTTCTTGAAAATTGTACCATGGATCTGTAATATTTTCTTTCTGATATAAACTGTATTGCAGATGCTGACTTAACCAAAAATGAACTTACTGATCTTAGGACAATAAACTTATTACAGTTGGAGTTTAACTCAAAAAACCTTGGAGAATTCTGGGTGTTCTCTAAGAGAAGCCTATCCTCATCTTGTGAAATGAGCTATGGAAGCTTTGATTCCATTTACAACAGTATATCTTTGTGATTTGGGAATTTCAATACTTGTAATAATGAAAACAAAAAGTCAAAATGATTAGATATCCAACATGATATGCATATTGCCTTGTCAAATACCACACCACAGTTCAATTTTCTGATTAATGATAAAATATAATTTAACTTTAGCTTTCCTATATTTTAAATATATTGTATTATTATTCTTATTATTTAAAATATGAAGAAAGAATCATTATATTTTTATTTTGGTGCTATATTTCAATAAAACTAAATTCCTTTACAATTTTAGGTTTTGCATTAAAAAACATTTTTCTGAGAATGGATTCCTTAGGCTTCACTGACTGGCAAAGGGTCCATGGAACGAAAAAGGTTAAGAATCCTAGTCAGTGCAATGCAAGTAAGTTTTGGTGTGGCAAGTAACAATATTTATAAAATAAAGAGGAGTCATCCACTAGTGGCTCCAGTTGCAAATTTTTTTAAATTAATACTTTCATAGTACTCTCAAATATAATATTATGTCAGAATTATAACCATGTTTGTGTTACTTCAACAAATTTCTCCATTTAAGTCAAGATCAAAAGAAAATGGGTTTAAGATTTTTGCTATAAAAATGAAATTTTTATATTTTTATATTTTATATAAAAATATTTTTTATTTTTTTACATTATTTTTATTAATTTTATACTGGTTAGTATAAAATTAATAAAAATAAAATTTCATTTTGTATATTCATTCTTTATCCTGTTGGTAAAGAAATAATTTTTCTGTTCTTTTTCAACTGAAAATCTTACATCACCTCCATTGCTAACTTCTTTGATCTCAATTTTTTCTAATAAATTTACCAAAGATATTAATAACTTATCACAATAAAATTTGTTATCAAAGCTTGTTTTTCAATTCTATTAATTCTTTATAAATTTCTCAATATGATATGAAATCAAGACATAGTACAAAAGAGGAATCCCATCTTTATGATGCTATACCTAATAATTCATATTCTATAATCAATTGAAAAACTAGAGTGGCAGTTGCAATATCTGAAAAAATTTAATAAATAACTAAGCAATACATATTATATAAGTTAGTTATGTAAATCCTTTATTTTTATAGTATCATGTATATATTTTAGTTAAAATTTTAAAAAAAGGTAAGAATCCAAAATAAGAAGTATTCAATAACTTTTGATTCATATATAATTTATTTTCATTGTTTATGCTTGCATAAACTTTAATGTTGTTAGCATATTTAAATAAGAATAATAAAACAGTTTTTTAAATCATACCAGGAAATATCATAGATCTTAATATGAAATTTTTGTGCTCTGAAATAAGCTCTTAAAATTTTTATCTTAATCTGTTAAAATACATTATAACTTATTATTTTAAAGAAGACTCATAATCTTATTTAAATTTCTATTACAAACTTATTTTCATTCTATTAGATGATAGAATTTGACTTTATAAATCATTTTACTAAGAAAGAAGCAATGAAACTTTGAAGATACTTGATACAACATACTTTCAACACAACAAAAAACACTTAGTTTTATTATTATTGCTGTTTTGAAAATATAAAATATTTTATCTCATAATTTCAATATCAGTAAAATTTAATGAAACAAAATAAGATCAAATTATACTCTTCCCAAAGTATTTCATTTTTCAAAAACAATATCCACATTCTATATTTTATTTAGATTTGAATATAAATCACATATAAATCTTACACAAAATTTTTTTCATTTTCAAATCACTACATATGTCATTCATTTTTTTTTCTTCAAATTAATCCTTGTAGTAAAGTCTATTTCTTAATAGTATTACATATTTTTGAATATTTAGATATTCCTCATTGCCAGTGCATTGAATAAAGAGTTTGATTTTATTACAAAAATAATTTTAGATAACAGCTTCTCAGAGTCAAAAGTTTAATATATTTTAAGTAAAATAAAATGATAACCATCTGCAATCAGCTCACAATTGTTCAGATAAATATATATATATATATTTTTTTTTCATGAAATTCACAATATTTAAATAACATACACAATAACATATTTGAAAATTAGGCCTGTATTTCTAGTTGTTTTTTCAAAAAAGTAACTACCTGCCATTAAAGAATCAATTATTTCTAAGATTTCTATAATTATGAAGTAAACAATTTATGTTAAAGGAAAATGCTGGAATACATAATATATTTTTAAAAAATAGAATACTATTTAATCCAGATTTTAAAATTAAACTATTACTTTTTGAATATAAATTCATTGAAAAAAATTATATATAAGAAGTAGCAATCAAATGAAAATTTATTAGAGCAAATATAATGACAATGATAAGTGATTATAGTAGCAAAGGGATTATTTTCTGCATAACAGTACAATTTAAAGCAACCTTTAGTACCTTGCAGGACCTTCTCTTGCCTGGATATATGCAGCAATATGGTCAAACATAAAGGCTATAGGGTTGTCAACTTTCTGAGTAACAAATTCTAAACAGTGTTGGAAAAAAACACACACTTAGCAACATTTTTTTCCCCTTGATGATTATGATGGTGATGAGACAATAAATGACCAAGGCAGTTAAAACATCAGTCTAATACTCTGGAGACCTAGGTCAAATCTGCATATGCAACCTCCCTAGGAATTTTTCATGGCTGTATCTGTACCAGTATATCAGGCCCTGTCCCTCACCATTCTGCTACTCCACATTGTGAGCTTAACCAAACCCATGAGGAGAATACTTAAAACAAACCCTGTTAGTGCCCACTGGGCAGGAAGAAAAAATGAAACAAAATGCAAAGTAATGGAAATGAAAATTATTTGGATTACAATTAGAGAGGCCATTTCTCATGAGGAAGCTAAAAAACAAGCTAAATGGGACAAGCTAAAAAACCACATAACTCCTCATTTATTTTTCAGAACAGTTCCAAACAGTTTTTGTTTTCTGAACAATTTTTAAAAAATAACTGAAATTCTGTACAGTGGACAATTCTGTAGCTACTATATGCTATTCTGTGACAGATTTGCCTAAAGATGTTGCAACTGCCACTCCAGATCTTTCACACCCAGATTAAAGTTGGTATTGCATTTGGTTCCATAATTGCTTGATTGATAACAAATCTAGTGAATGGGCAAGCCAAGAATACAGCAACATGGCAGACATTCTTGGGAAACCCTAGATGTGTGTGGTTGAGATTATCTTACTAGAAATGGCTGTTTCCAGTCTGTCATAAAAGACAACACATGAGGATGCAGGATTTCCTAAATGTAACCCCTTGTCATCAATATTCTTCATACCACTATTAGGGGTGATCAAGTATTATGCAAGATGGTCCCAAGACCAAGACATCAGTGTGCCAATCAACAGTAAAAACAAAGGGAGTCATCTGTTACTAAACAAAACAAAAGACTCATTGCTAAAGATAATACATTGCCAATCCAAAGCACCCTTGCTTCTCAGCACCAATGCAACCAAAGTTGTTCATAATGGTAGAACACAGCAGTCACTGTGCATGCAAATTAGCCTTGCTAGTCACTGCCAATGGTATGCAAAAAACATGGTTATATAGTGATTCTTGCATGTCTTTGGATGGTAGACAAAAACATCCTGCAGCTGTTTGTGCTTCTCTCATGATCAGATGATCATCTCTCCTAGTGGTCTGTGTGAGGCATCCATAGTCTGCCCATTATGTATATTTCCCTGGCATATCCATTGCTTCAACATCTCTTTACAGTCATGTCAGAACAGCCCAGATGATGTGCAATTCAATGAAACAGCTATCCTGCTTCCTTCAACCCATGACATAGCCTTTTTCAAACTATCTGATCTGGCCAAGCATTATCATAAGTCTAGAAACTATTTGTCAATTTTACATTGTGAGTAAATAATAAAAATACATTTTTAATAAGGTAAAGATGTAGTAAAGAATAACAAAAATGACAGTCAACAATTTAAAATAATATATCATGAAAATCATAAAAATTTTCACAATTACAAAAATGATCAAAGTAACAACTATTTATTATAGTCCAATACTGAATGAAATTTCACTTTAATTCAAATCATTTACTTATTTTTATTATTGTACAATACAAACAATTGTATATATTTCCTTATTTCACAAATAAGTTAAATGATTAGAAAGAATTATAGAGTTTCCAATAGAACTAAATGATGATAAATAACAAAAGCAGGAAGAAAAATTTAGCATTGAAAGAATACTATTAATATAAAAAAAAAAAATTATTATTTAATATAATTACAATGGTGCCTCGTATAACATACTTAATCCATTGCAGGTGCACGTCCATTAAGTGAAAAGTCCATTACACAAAATGCATTTTCCCATAGAAATGTGTGTTAAAACATATAATTCGTTCCACAGCATAAAATAACCATACTGTACCATAAAAAAATGAAAATGGAGCAGTCACCAATTATGCCAGGTAATCAGATGTTGTGAGGAGGAGGTGGAGGAACACTTTCTTTACACATTCATACAGATACAGACTTTTTACACATTGTAGTAGGTCTCGTTTTATTGTTTTTTTTAATCAGAGTCAGATTCAGGAGAGGCTACTGGAGCTTGCAGGGTCATCTCCTCTTGTTCCATCCTTTGTTTTTTGGCAGCTTGCTTCTTGAAAAACATGTCCAAAGTGGTCTGTTTCTCTCTCTTCTTCAACACCTGTCAGAAATGACAGGCAAGGGTGTCATTGTAGAGATCATTGATCCTGTTGGCCTCAGCTCTGTTTGGATAATGAGTGTTGGTAAACTCCTGAACCTCTCC